TTTTCTTAAGAAAAATTATATTACTGATGTTTCAGTAAAAATAAAACAGTGATTTATAAAAGCACAATGAAAATGAAAAACATGGTGATGATTTCTGTGCTTCATTAGTCTATTTCAGGCACGATCAAAGAATAGAAGTGATTCTATATTCTTTGTGACATGTCGTTATTATGATTAACAAATGCTTTAAACATTCTGAATCATGAAATGACCCATCATGGCCTAAAATAAGAGTTCAGCGTTCCTGCCAGTTCTCAGGCCTGTGCGAGACCTGCTTTGAGGCAGTAATTCCTGTTTCTTCACTCGAGGTGACCCCTACATGTGAGTGAAATCTGTTCATAAGTGGAGTGCTGTGTTTTGCCGTGCGGCTGTACTTGGAGCTCCTCCTGGTTGACAAAGCTCCTCACTATTTCTTAAGGCTGATATTCACCATCCCCTGAGAGAAAGATTAAGTAACATCGATGGAGCAGTGAAATGAGAATTTAGCTCAACTTATTTTATCGTCGCATAGTGCAGTGTCCTCATTACTGGACACAAAGCTCATGTTCGTCAGTTCATTTCTCCCATCGTCATTTGCAGAGAGATTGTCAGACTGATCTTTTTAAGACAGACTCATCGTCAGACTGGTGGGAGCATTGTACCTTTTTCAACTGAGAACCATGGTTCAGATTTAGTGGAGCTGACCCAGTGGTCTCACACTCAGCTGTGAACTGCTTCTGCTAATATCCATTGTATGACATCATATCCGGGGTTTGATCAGGTTTACTGTAAACATTGTAAGAACACACGATTTGTGGCCATTTTGTTGTAGGTCTTAGGAGCCACAGACAGGCTTGTAGTGAAATGATGTCTTTAGATGTGAAAATAAATGTTCAACTGAGAGCTTAATCGGTTTTCTGCGCATGATTTGGGCTTCCAAATTAAATAATTGTTTGCAACTGGTGACCCCGTTGTATTGAGAGTTCATCAACAGCGACAAGTATTTTATATCACTGTACGCGATTGCAGTCTACTCGTTGCTTTCGTTGCAACAAATGGGAGGCGCCTCAGAACAAAGGTGGGTCTTGACTCTGGCATAAAGCTGTGGGTCACGTGTTCAACACCTTTTCCTGAGCCTCCACAGCCAGGGTGGGGATTCAGGAACTAGACTAGATCTGAGTTATGTGTGGTAAACTCCACATTTCTGTAAATAAATATTGAAGTCTGAGAATTGAATTGATCTCTTGCACATAATTTGGTCTCTTGTTTGTACATGATCTTTCACTTACAAAAGCATTTCTGGTACATAAAATCTTTGCAACATCTCAGATGTAATCCCTTTCAGGACACAGGCATAAACCTTCTCCAGATCCACACAAAACATGCAGATCACTGTGTAACCACCTTCCCATGACCCCCTCAGCAGTATGCAGGGGTGAAGAACTGGTCTGTTGTTCCAAGACCTTAACAAAATCTATACTGCTCCTCCTTGAGCCAAGGTTTGACAATTGATTAAAGGCTCTTTTCTAACACCCAGGAGTAAATTTTCCCTGGCAGGCCATGATAGTTGCAGCAATGTCTAAAAATGTTGAACAGTATTATGCAACATAGTGCAACAGCTCTCGGAATATTAAAGCACAAGAATGGTACAGATACTTTGTGTTTGTACTTGTATTTAGATATTTTTGGACCCTTTTATCCTCATTTAACCTTTCACAAATGCTGTCTTGTCCCAGATGTTGTCTCCTCTTGCATCTGTACTTATTCACTCGTTACCATCAAAGTGTTGACTCTTTCTTTCAAGTAGTGTGTCCTCACAAGTCATCCCCCCCATCTCCCCTTCCTCCCTGATTCTCATTGGAGAAATAGATTAGGTCTTAAAGGAATCAAA